AAGTGGGGTGGGAGCTGAGGATTGAGGATGAGGCTAGAGATGGGCTTTTCCTTTGTCTGCTCCAAATCCACATGTCTTCTTTCCTCCTGAATTGGTGGTTTCTAGTCGGAGTGGGACCTGTGGAATCAAGGGGTTCTCTCCAGGCTAACCTCACCATGCCAGTGGGGAGCAATCTCTAATCACGACCACACAATTCCTTCTGCCAGGCTGGGCAGGGGCAGCCCACCTCCAAGTGTACCTATGTGTGTGGCCACATTAAAGGATACACAAGGGTCTGAGGTTGATGTATGTGGGACCCCGGGATGACGCAGTGACCGTGTGAATCCTGAATCAATGGATCTGAATGCGACCATCAGATCATCAGTGTGTGCATGCATCCAAGTGTAGGCATGAACTAATGTCTGTGACTCAGGGGGAAGACTTGTAATTGTGAATGTGGGTGGTTTGGGACTGAGTATATGGAAGTGTGTGACTGCACATGCACAGCTATGCACACAGCGATGAGCACAGGTGAGCTATTGCATGTATGAGCAATTTAATGTGTGTGTATGCCTGGCCTTGGTTGTGATATGTGTGCCTGACACTGAAGGGGGAGATATATCGGGGGTGGGGGGAAGTGTGTGGTTGTGTGTGAGGGTGGACAACTGGGAGTGTAAGTGTGACTGCTTTTGAGTGTGTGTGTAACTGAACTGATGTGAATTTCTGCACAGCTGTGAGCCTGTGGATGGTTGTAGGTGAGCAGGATTGTGTGTTGGAATTGGTGTGGGTCTGTGGGTGTGTGCCTTTGCATGAGGATATGTGTGACAGTATGTGACCAAAGAGTTGTATGCTTGTGGGTTTGCCTATTGTGTGAGGCCGAGTGTGAGAGTATACATGTGTGTTTATGCATGTGAAAGATGCAGTGTGTTTCTGTGACGTGTTGTTGAACATGCCCATGAGAGCGGCAATGGGTTTGTGATCAGGCTATGTGTGTATGTGAGTGTATACATGTGTGACTGTGTATGGCTTTGAATACTGGAGTGTGCACGTGACTGTACCTATGCATGTATGAATTCATATGTTAATATATACATGTATTTGTAAATATATGTATAGCATATACATTTATATGAATATGTGATGAATATGATGGCAGCTATGTGTGACAAAATTGCTGAACCTAGACATATGGTGGGTGGCTGCCTGACGTGCTGTGTGTGTGTGAGACAGAAATGTTGCACCTGTGTATGAAGTGGGTGGCTGTGCATGGCTGTGTGTACTCTAAGTGACTCCCAAGTGGCTGGGTCTGGGGCATCTCACTGCTTGACCTCTTGGGGACAGAGGGCTGAGGCGGTAGTGTCAGTAAGGGGCTGGGCCACCTGAACAGGTGAACCAGCTTCCTCCCAGCTCCTTAGTGTCATAGGTGGCAGAGGCCAGATCATTGCTGCTGCTTTCAGCATGCGGCTGGTGGCTGGCAGAAGGATGGGCTCAACAGTCCATGTCTTTACCTAGCCCAGGAAAGATTTGCTGCAAGCAGCTGTCTCTAATCGTGCCAGCCCTGGAGCTGTCACCCTGGTGTCTATAGAGCAGCAGAAGCAAACCCTCCCTGGAGTCCACCAGGTCAGCGAACCCTTGGGGACAAGGTCAAAGACTGCCTTGGGCAAGGGACTTGTGGGCAGCCAGACTGGCTCATCTGATCTCCTGTAATCAACTTCCAGCAAGTACACAGGATTAGGATTTAGAGTCAACTCCCCTGTCCCTCTGGACTGGGGGTGGGGGCCCAGGAGGTGTGTGCAGGGGGAGCGTGTGCACAACTGGGATACGGGTGCTCTGAGGGTCAGTAGGTGGATTGTGCTTATATATCACCTACTCATGCCCTTCACCTATACAGGAATTAACTGTGCCTCCAATACTGCGAAGGGGTGCATTTCTGCCTGCGCTCATGCCCCAGCACGGATCTTGCACCTGATATTTCCAACTTGCCAAGGGTGTAGGGGCTTCCCCTGAGCGCTTGGGGACAGGGATGAAGTTTCACTGACAACACTGTCCTCTCCAATTCCCAGGCACCTTTTTCCCAGTTCCCAGGAAGTGGCTGTGGAATTTGCTTCCAAATATAGACTCTGGGTGGCCCAGGCTGCTGCAGGCAGATCCTTTGGCCTCCCAAGCAGAATGGCAGAACAGTGACTTTCTTCCAGGAGGCTCAGGCCCACAGGCCTCTGCTTAGAGCTGCTGGTAAAAATAATAATCATAAAAATAGCCAATAAAAAGCAGGGGGGCACTGAGCATTAGGTTATGAGCCCAGAAAACCATCTGACCTGAGGTGATATTTGGATGGTTTTCTCACCCTCTACACACACACACACACACACACACACACACACACACTTCCACAATGACACACAGACTCACACAAGCTCACACATATACATGCACAAGACTCCACGTACCATGAGTTCACAGGTGTTTTCACATGAGGAGGTCCACAGAAAAAGTGCACAGGTAACTATTTCTGAAATGCCCCCTCTCAAGGAAGCACATGTAAGGGCACAGGCACACACAACTAACACAACAGCAGAGAGACACACAGAGCTGCCCCTCAAATGACACTATACTTTAGAAAGACTCTAGGACAATGCCATATTCGGCCACACAGAAAGTAGACACACAGCCCACCTCTGCAGCTGGGCAGCCTGCAACCTCTGGTTCTGTAGCAGATGGAGATTGGGCGTAGGGTAGGAATGCCAGAGGACTGGCCCTTGTCTGTAAGATTCAGTCTCCTGGGTCCTGGGCGCTCACCAATACTCATCCATGGGGATCAGGAACCAGGACGTCGGGCCCTTGTGGGAGCTGTTGCTAGCGAGCAGGGCAGGCTGAGAAATCTGGGAGGAACCGTAAGCTAGCATGAGGGTGGCCTGGGTTTGGGCGTAGCCGAGGATCCTGGAGATTCGGCAGGATCACCTGAGGGGGCCTCAGAGGAGATGCATTCTGCGTGGAGGCGGAAAGACTCGGGCACTAGAAGAATGACTCCCGGAGCAGGGAGGACACCGGTGGAGAAGGGTGGAGGGAATCGAAGGGAGGGAAGTGACAGAGTGGGGATCCCTTGCACCTCCCTTAGAGGCGCTACTCAACGGCTTTGGATCTCAGAGCCCCTCACCTTCTAAAGAAGTGATTTTCTTCCTAACTTGCACGTGTGGCAGCCCGCGCTGTGTCCAGAGCAAATAGGCGGTGGAAAGAGCCTGAAACAGCGGGAAGCGAAGGGAGCGCCTGCGGAGGCTGCAGGAGCGGCGCCAGCGGCAGGTCCCTCCGGGTCCCGAGTCTGGAGCCCTTATGGGGTCTGGGACTTTCCTGTCACCATTGGAGGCTTGAGGCGGGGGGACTCCTCCGGCCCCTGGGAGCGCCGCGTTGCAAAGATAGTCGAAGGGCCGCGCCTGGCGCGCGCTATCGCGGCCCAAGAACGCAGTGCCTGGGAGGGGGAGGCCTGGAACCCGGAGGCCGGGTGGCCGTGTCGGACTGCGAACTCCACGCTGCACCGCGGCGCCCTCCGCAGGCCGAGGCCGCAGCCGCTGGAGCAAGCCGGGACGCAGCCTCCACGTGCACTCGGGAACCGCTGGGAATCCTTTAAACGCTCCACCTGAAGGCGCGGGAGAGTAGGGAAAGGGAAGGAGCCGAGTGCATTTCCCGAAGAGGCTGTATGACTTCGGGCAAGTCCTCACCCTCTCAGAGCCTAATTATTTGTTTCAAAAAAATAGAGCAGGGCACATCTCTCCCTGGCTCCATCCCACCCACCCATCTTCCTCTCTCAAAGCCAGGGGACAGTGTGTACTGGCTTTGAGGCCATGACGAATGTGGGCCAGGATTTGGAAACAGAATAGTGAGATCTGGAAAGGAGAACGCATCTTTCTGTCCTCCCTCCCATCCTGCTTAATGCCAGTGAATCTGGGCTGTTTGCCCCCAGGCTCTCTTCTGGGGCCTCTACTTCCTCATGGGAGTGGAGAGAAAAGACTGAGACATCAGAAATGATCTGAGCCTTCACTCCCCAACACAACGAGCAGTTGCCCCCGGTCTCCAACTAAACGTGCTTTCCGATGCTGAAAAAGTGCCCTTTGCACTCCCCCAATCCAGTCCGGTGCTCCTTCCTGCGGAGACAGAGAAACTCCGTCTCATAAAAGCCTGGACTCTGGCGTCAGATGACCCACTCTGGTGGGTTCGACTCTGGTGGATTTGAACCCACCAGATTCTACCAGATTTGAACCCACCAGAGTGAACCCACCAGAGTGGGGCGGTGGGTTCAAAAGCAGATTTGAACTCACCAGAGTGGGGCGGTGGCCAGAGCTCCAGAAACTTATTCTGTAAGGTTGAGGAGAATCGAGCTGCCTTCTCAGAGCAATTCAGAGCTAAACGTGTGATCAAAACCAAGTTACGATGGCTCCTTCCTGGCCTGCCATAAAGATTAGCTATTATTGCACCTCAAATGCTAACAGATTTGTAAGCCTAAAATACCCACATTGCTCTCTTGGTGACTGTGTAGACACAAGTAGGACTCTACTGAAAATATTAATGCGAAATGCTGGGGAGGGAAGGAAACAGGAGGCCTTCGGTTAGGAGCAGGAAGGCTGCCTGGGCTCTCAGAAGGGAGAGCAATGGGTGGAGGCACTACAGAGCCAGCCAGCGGCTTTGAGGGACATTAGCTGTCCCATTGGAAATAGGGGAGAGAAGTTAAATTTTGTCTTTCCTGAGAAGTTGGGAGGACGATGGGGTTGGCAGCAGAATGGAACAAAGCGGAGAGGGGACCCAGAGGAAGAGTTGCTCCCATCCCACCCTCAAAGACCTCTGTTGGTACCCGAGGTCTGGACCCTTTCTCTCTGTCACCCTTTCTCTCCTTACTGCCTGCATTGCTGTTGCTGCCAGGTCCTACAGGCTCGGTGCCTCTGAAGAAAACCAGCCTGTATTGTCCACTATCCACCCCAAAATAAAAAGATCCACTCCCCCCTCCCCTCGATACAGATTCAAGAAGAAAGCAGTGCAACCAGAAATATGATTTTAATGTTATTTCAATTACATCTGCAATCGCATTTTTTTTTTCTAAAAAGAAAAGGAGAATAAATTATTCTTTCCACTCCATTAGCCCTTGCAGACATTAATGCCACAATTTTGAATGCTCAGACTTTTCTCCTTCTGTTTAGGAGAAATGAACCCGGGTAAAGAAAAACGTTGCCTGGCCTGCTGCAGGGAGCCTCCTATGCAGATAGGGGTGGTTAACAGATGTGAAGAGGTTAATCGACACCTAAAGTCCCAGGTTTCTGGCTGAGATGTTTGGGCTGCGGGTTTCGATTCAGATACACCATAGGCTCTACATGCTCGGCTCTGGGGTCAGAATTCTGAATTCAAAGAAGAGGTTTTGCTCAAGACCTGAACCCAGCTGGTACTAAACCTCCATTTTCTCCCCTGTTTAAAAAGAGGGGCAGTTTTAAAACCCATGCTCTCTTGAACCCACGAAGGAGGCTCCAGAAAGTCAAGAACGACAGGCAGAAATGCGTTTCAGGCCTCAGACCATGAAGCAAATTGTGCAAATGTCCTCGGGGCACCCCCTTGTTTAAGATATTCGGTGGGACTTCCAGGTTGCCATGGTGACCGGGAAATTCAGGGTCCTTGCGGAAACAATCATCAGGAACTTTTCCACTGGGAACTTCGGCCAGTCGCTCGCCACGGAGAGCCTCTGTCAGTTGCATCACCCCGGTCTGTTTTGCGTGTGATTTGGGTGAGGGAGCAAGGTGTCTGGGGTCCCTGCTTCTGGACCCTACTGTTAGGATGTCACCAAAGGCCAGAAACTCAGCACCAGGGAACCGCAGGAGACTGGCTGGAGAGGAAGAAAAATTAGAGGTCTCGACCAAGCAATTGTTTCGGTGACAGATCCTTCCAGATTGGGGTTTGGCCGCCTTCATCACCCCCACCCCCACACACCTCCCTTCACCTCCTCAAGGTCATTACTAGAGTTTTCACTCACAGTTCCAGGCAGGGTGGCCGCCTCCACTCCCTCCCATGTATGCCAGGGCTCTGCAACTGGGACCAGTAGTGTCCTCTCTCAAGAAGGTCTCTCCCCAAATGAAAGTCAGGGAGGATATAGAGATCAGCTGTGCTGATTAAACTGGCTATTTCAGAGTGAACACAACAGCATTTCGGCTTCTCTTGACCCAGCTAGGCCCAAGTCCAAAAGCCTGATCAGACCTTAGAAATTTCGTAAATCAATGGCCTGGAAGATTTTGGCCATTGCTTGAAGGTTGCCTGAATTACTGGGTTGATTTGGAAGACATCGAGATGAGTTTTCATAAAGAGTTTAATTATCATCACAATTGCTGTCTCCTTTGCTTTCTTTGTCGCTACAAATTCTGAATCCCTGCAGCATAGACTTGGAGACAGACCCACACCCCTTCTCCTTAAATAAAGCACTTTATGAAACATCAGATCGAATTCTCTCCAGTGGGGACGCCTTGCTCTGTGAGGCCTGGCTGGCTGGAAAGAGGCCCTCAGGCAGCCAGAACTGGAGTTGAAGTTGCATCTCTGGTTTTGACTCTGGCCCTTTGAGCGAGCTTAACACGTGTGGATTTAATTTCCCTTTCTTTCTTGCTTCCTTTTCTTTCCCCCTACCCCCACCTTGAGAGGGAACAAGAAAAATAGTCTGCTCTGTCGACAGCGCGACACCGTTCCGTTTGCCAAAGAAAATTTGTCTTTCCAGAGTCCCAGAGAGCAGCGGGATCCCAGGTTTCCAATGAACCCTTCAATTGAGGGAAGAGGTATCCAGACAGGCCCCCCACCTTCACCCCAGACCTAGAGATATTAATCCGAGTCTCTCTCTTACAGGGTTACAGACCTGGAATGTCGTAGGTTTCTTTTCCCTACCCCAAACATTTTGGGAGGCCTATCAGTGGGTTTGCCCTATGGAGATGGTTGGAGTTCTCAGGCTCAGTGTGACCCTGGGGGGCTCCAAGTTCTCCCAGCTGCGACCCTCACCTTTCTGGGCTGGGCACTTCCCAGATTGGAGGAGATGAGAACAGTGGTATCCTTGTGTCCGAGCACCGCTCGCTTCCACCTTTCTGCTCTTTGAAGTGTGTAAATTTCTAGCATTGGGATCCTTCTCAGCTGGGCCTTGAAATGATGTCCCCTCTTCCAGTTCTCATTTCATTACCCTGAACAGCAAAACAAAAACAAAAACAAAAACAACCCACCACCACCACCACCAACGAAAAACCCCTCACCCTCCAAACTTGGAAAGTGAAGAGGACAGTATCATCTAAGCACATGAAGCAACACTAACATGAATGAGCAGAGCAGCAATAATCGTTTTTGGTGGAAATATTGGGGGGGGGAGAATATTGGATACTCGATAATAATAATGGCAGCCAGTATTCTTCCCACATACTTCCGTTCAAAAGGAGGGAAACTAGAAGCCGAATAAAACATTGAGAAGAGACATACTGTGGTCCTGGAAAAAATATAACGGAGTCAGATCTAACTGGGTGAGAGGGGAAGTGACCCCCTTGAGAAACCAGGGAATGTCCCACTCTCAGAGCGACCCTTTATTTTGCAAATTGAGTCGGTCAAAGTTTCGTTTGTCATCATTTCTATTGTTTTAATTCGTATTCATTTTCCCAGCCCCATCCGGGCTTCTATTTTTCATCACCCCCAAGTCGCCACCGGGTCTGTTGGGGACTTATCGGGAGAGAAATAGAAGGGGATGTATTTTAAAGCGAGTTCTCTTTTGAGAGGAAAACAATGGGTAGTTCTGGATGTGTCTTTTTTAAAAACGGAGGGAGAAAGTGAAGAAAAAAAATTAACAGCCATCGTCCCCTTCGGTTTTGGTTTTGACTTTTTAAACAGGAACCTCTGCTATCCTGTTGCGGGATTAAAATCAGGGCAGGAATTTTGCAAAATGAGAAAAATACACTCCGGGAGAAAACCCAGCTGGGAGCACGTTCCGGAAAGCGACATTTCTTCGAAGGGAGGAAGAGAGGATGCGCGCTGCAGCCGGCTCCGGAGCTCATTGACCAGACGATTAGGGAAAAGAACCAGGATTCTCAAATCTAGTTGCGGTCGCTCGTCTCTCCTTTATTCTGTTCGTGGTGCGGGCTCCGGAGCGTCTGGGAAAGCCAGTCTGTGAAGCTGGACTTGTAGAATCCTTTGAATGCCGGTCCAGGTGGCTGCAGGGCCGGCGGTCCGGGATGCCAGAGAAAGGAACCGCACGGAAAAGAACTCGCTACGCTCGGAGTTTCGCCTTTCCCTTCCAGCCCCGGCGGGGCCTAGGCCTCGGCTTCCGGCCCACCTCGGTTCAGAGGTCAAGTAGGAGCTCATCTCGTCCCACGAAGGTTTGGGAGAAGGATTTCGGGTTGCATTCTTGGCATCTGGGAGCAAACGCTGCACCGAACGAGCCTCGGCTTTGGGGAAAGGTCGTTATTAGCGGCTTGGGAAACGAAAGCGAAGCTCGGGGCAGCCTCTCCAGCCTGGCGGAGGGGAAGGACGCGGGGGGTGCTCTCTGGAAGCAAGGGGGTCTGCGGTCCAGCTGGCCGGGAAGCTCGTGGCCGGCGCTGGAAGCTGCCCGCTCTCCCCGCGGGCCTGACCTTGGCTCCCGCACCAGCTCTGCCGGCCGGCTGCCTCCCTGCACATTTTGCTGCTGTTCCAGTCCGGAGCGGACCGGGCCTGGAGCCAGGCCATGCTTCGGAAAGCCCTGGGGGCTGGGGACGCACAAAACCCAGGGTCGAACTCCGAAGCTGGGGGCAAGTCCAGATTCAGACGTCCAGCTCCCTCGGGACCCCTTGGCGGGGAACTTACCCTTCTGGAAGGCCCGACGCTCGCCGGTTCCGTGCTAGGCAGGCCTAGCTCTTCTCTCGGCGCCGCCAGGGGCGTCTACGCGGTACGTTTGCAAGCGAAGCTAGTGGGTTTCCAGCGGCGCGCAGAAGCTTGCGCGTATCCGTCAGTGGGCTGCTTAGAAATTACGCCCATTGATCAGACTAAAAATAATAGTCGTTATTACAAAGCAAAATGGAGTGCCTCGGCGGGCCCTGGTGCTATAATTATTCTCTGCAGAAATCGCCCCTCTCTTCTCCCACCCCTACTCCACCACCCACTCGCACCCCGCCCCTGCCTGGCCACTCTGGGACGAATTGCATTCTTGGACCTTTTTCTTAGCAAGGCACATTACGGAGAACTCTTGTCTCATTTCCCCTCCACGATAACCCAGTAATTATTTCTGTGCAAATCGGCGAGAGGGCCCTGAGTTATCGCGTCCCAAAGCTAACCAGCTAGAGTGGCGCCTCAATATTCGTTTGGCAAGAGCTCCTCCGTGGGGGACTTTTCTTTTTTTAAAAAATAAGGATCTTCAGTCCCCCGAACAACTTGATTTCCTTCTAATAGAGGTCTGAGGTGGACTCCACCTCGCTTCGTGAAGGGTGCCCTCCTCTCCCCCTTGCTAAGAAAGTCGATCTTGGTTCTATTTGTGTCTTATGTTCACCACCCTCATTTCTCCAGAGAAAGCTGGGTTAGTTTATGTCTTTTTTTATTCCCGAAGCGGAGAGGTCCGGGACTTGTGGCTGCGCAGACCCGGCACTGATAGGCAAAGACGGAGAGAAATTAACCTCCCGCCGCTGCCCCCTAGCCAAGCGTGACAGCGCGGCCCGGTTGCGTGACTCGTGACGTCTCCAAGTCCTATAGGTGCAGCGGCTGGTGAGATAGTCGCTATCGCCTGGTTGCCTCTTTATTTTATTGGGGTATGCCTGGTAATAAACAGTAATATTTAATTTGTCCGAGACCACAAACCGACTTCGAGCTGGGAGGTAGGTGCTCTTCTTGACAGACATTGGAAGAAGATCTGGCCTAAAGAGGTCTCTTTGTGGGGGTCCTTTTCAAAGTCTTCACCTGAACCTTCCTCTCCAGCGAGGCGCACTCCTGGCTTTTGCGCTAGAAAGAAGAGGTGGGATATTTGGAGGTGAGTTTTGCCCTGGAGGACTAAGGGGGAAAAATGTTTCTCTTTGCACTTGGCCCGTCCCCGCTCCTTGGCTTTTCACCCCGTCTTGGTCTTGCTGAATCTTCCCTCACTGTGCGGCTACTTTTCATGACCAAAAATAAGAATGGCTTCGTGTGTCACCTGGCAAGAATGGTTTCTCTCTCATAGTTTAAAAATCCCAATTTTGCTTGGTAGCCCAGACCATCTGTGCTCAATGAACTAGGCAAATCTGGCTGGGCTATTACCTGGGAGAGTCCAGATTTTTCCTCTCTGGAGGGGCCTGAAGATTATTTATGGGAATTAATTTTATCCTCAAATCTCTGAGAACTTAAAGGGATTGGGGAGGTCTTTCTGGATTTCCCTTCCCCTCTACCAGAGATGTAGCAGTTCAGCCTCATCCCCATGCCATGTTTGTTTTTTTTGTCTTCGACTTAGGGTCGCCTTGTTAGCAAGCCTGAAGGCCTCCCGGCTGACCTGGATGGCAAGGGTGTTTTCACAAATAAATAAATCGCCTTGGCAAAGATCGGTTTGTTTGCAAACAAACCTGGAAGGTGGAGTGAGCACTGTAGCAAAGGGGAGTTGGTGTTCTCCCTGGTTGCCCCACATTTAGGGCTGGACATTCCACTTTGGCATTTTGCAGCGATGGCCTGGCCTGGGAGTTTAGCAGAGCAGCCACAGAGGGTTACACAGCTGCTGATCTCAGGGCAGTTCTCCTCCCTCCATCCTTTTCTCCAGACCTTGGCTTGCACCGCCAAGTCTCTTATCAGAACCCTAGAAAAATCAGGATGATGGGGATACAGTAAGGATGGGAAACAGAAAAGGACTCCTGACATTTTCTACAAGTACCAATATTTGGTGTCCCAATCTGGGTCTGCTCAGATGGAGACCTACTGACTCTGTTTATGCTTTTATTGACCTCTTCAACTCACCCTCAAAAAAGTACATTTCAGAGAGGGGAAGCGGCAAGGAGAGAAGACCAGTGGAGAAGAAAACCCCAGCCAGTCCCCAATCACTGTTTGATTATTTTAATAAAACTGGGCACTGCCTTGTGTACACCTGGAGCAGGGGAGGTCTGGTGGCCCCACTGGTGGGGGGTGGGAGCCCACAGCGATTCCTTGGCATCTTTGATCTCAGCCCCCATCCCAATGCACCTTCACCCTGCCTTTACCCCAGAGTCGCTGAGAGTAGGGGTGATGAGTAGGGGGTGGAGGGGAGATGTCAGGAAGGCGAGCGCCGGCCAGGCGGGGTCAGGCAGCGCTCCTTCTCGAGGTCGGCATTGGAGAGAATGTATGCAAGGCTGCGGAGGCCCGCAGGGTGTGTGTGTGAGTGTGTGTGTGTGTGTGTGTGTGTGTGTACGCGCGCGCACGCGCGCGCGCACGTCTAGACTTGGTTCTCTGCACCGCCAGCGTCAAGGAGATTACTTCCCGGTTAGAAGCCGACCGCATCTGAAATGATTTGTGCAGGAGTTTTTGCAGCCACCGCTTGCTCAGAGAAGCAGAGATGGATGGAGGTTGGGAAAGGGGTAGAGAGGAGGGAGTTATTGCAGGTCTGGGTTTGAGAGTCATATTGTGATTTGAGTGTTCGGGAAATCTAGTGGAAAAGTTTGGGGGGGAAGGGAGGACGGAAGGGTGGGAGGGAGAGAGAAGGGGGAGGGAGGCAGAGTGCAGTGGGAGCTAGTTGGATACGCGATTTCAGTATTTGTGAGCATCGAGGCAACCCAACGTCACTGCGCTCAGCTGAGTTGGCTTGTATTTCAGAGAGACAGAGACAGAGAGAGAGAGAGAGAGAGAGAGAGAGAGAGAGGGAGGGAGGGAGGGAGGGAGAGGCTGAGACTCTCTTACCTCGAACTCGGGAACTTTAATCTTAAAAGCTGCGCTCAGAAAGGACTTCCACCATTCACCGGGCTCCCAACTTACCCTCCCTGGGGGTGTAAGGGAGGAGCGGGGCACTGAGATTACCTTGTTGCGGGTGCTCTTGGAGGCTATTTTGTGTTCTTTGGCGCCTGCCAACTTGGAAGTATTTAGGGAGAGCAAGCGCACAGCGGAGGAGGTGTGTGTTGGAGGTGGGCAGTCGCCGCGGAGGCTCCAGCGTGGGTGCGCCCTAGTAGGCAGTAGTAGCTGCTATTCTGGGCAAGCAGTAAACCCCGCATGAAGCCCGGAACCACCATGCCTGCACCCCCGCCTCGCCGCGGGCTTCCCTGCTAGGAGCAGCAGAGGATGTGGTGAATGCACCGGCTTCACCGAGCGAGGTAACCCACCCAGCAGATGGCCTGGGAGGCCCAGAAGGGAGCTCGTCGGTCGAGTCGGCTGGGGCGGAGGGAATGGCGGATTCCAGTCTGGCTGTGTATTCATACAGCGCGGCTCGCAGAGATTTTGCGCAGCTCGGAGCTCCCCAGCGAATGGAGTCCGGGAGGCTGCCGCAGCTTGCGGAGTGGCATTGATGTTTGCAGAAAACACGGCCTGGTCCTGTCATACCGCACGTTGTTCGCCTCCGCCAGCCTGGAGCTCCCCCGACCCTGGCGAGGGCTCAGGATAGGATTCTCCCTGCGGCTGACCGCGGTGAAAGGGAGCGCGTGTGGGGGCGCCAGCCCTGCTTTCTTTTGTTGTGAGTAGGTTGCGGGGCTCCCATCACCGCTTCCCTGAAGCCCCGAGGACGAGGTGAAGAAAACTGCTTGCGAGTCGGGCCTCCGAAGCTGTCCTCCTCGGCCCGGTTTCTAGATCGCTAACCACTGCAGATCAGGATGGGATCTGGCCCCTTCCCGTAGCAGCTGCTAAGGTTTTGGGGAGCCATCGCTTGTGCCCGCTTCCCAAAGTCTTCCTGTTTTGGGAAGGGGGGTGATTCCTATTTGAGTATAGAGGAGATTGGAAGGAGATCAGAGAGCAGGAGACAGGCTCATCGGGCTTGAACAGCTCTGCGGCTGTTATTTTGTATGTTCTAACCTCATATGCCTGCAAACCCGGGCCGTTCTATGCATTGTGGGGACCCAGGCCGCCGATTCAATGCCTCCCGCCTAGGACTTACCCGAGAACGATTTTGTCCTTGCCAGTCCTGAGCCTAGGCTTGCAGCTTTAGCAAGACAGGCCTGGCTGACGTTCAGAGAACCCCCGCTTCAGCCTGGTCACTCCACAAAATGCCCGCCATCCCCAGCCCGGCAGTAGAGCGCTGGTGGCGGGCACGCAGTGATGCGCCTCTCTCGGAACTGCTGTACGGTGGCCTTCTTCATCCAGTCTTCTGTTTGGCTACTTTTTAATCTTTTAACGAATCTTACTTAAGGTTCGGGTAAAGAAAAGGACTTTTAATTTTAAAGGACTTTTACCGTTAAGGCCTGTGACCGATAAAAGATGTATATGAATTCTCTTTTGAACCTAGTCTCAATCTGCACAACCTTCCCTGCCTGTATTTTTGTTTTTGCAAGAGGCGGGTTATTTCAGACAGTTTTGCCTGCTGCAGAAAACGGTTCCTCTTGTGAGGTTTAATTCCGACGGCATCTTGTAATTTGATGAAGAAATAAATTCTCTAAAGGACACTGGGTTTTGTTTTGTTTTGTTTTTGGTTCCTACCCAATGGCTTCCAAAAATACCCACGTCTTATCTTTATTGGCTCTTCCAGAAGTCCAGACAAATTTGACGGGCAGCTTGCTTATCGCGGGGAGCCTGCGCAGGGGAGATGCAGGCCTCGCCTCCTCCGGGTCTGACGCGGGTCTTTTGCAAGAGGTTGTGCCTGGTCATAAAGTAATAGTAATACCGCTAGGAATACGGTAATAGTCATAATTCTAGGGCCTTCTGCAGTCTCCTTCAGCTGGGAACGGAGGTGCTGGTAGCTGGAAACTGGGGGCCAAACTGCTCCCTCCTGTCGCTAGAACTGTGCTCTCCAACCTTTCTCTCTTTCTCTCTCTCCTCCCCACCCCCATCTCCTCCTGCTTCTCTTCCTCAGAGCAGAACCTTGCGTGGGCACAGGGCCCCGGGCGCACCATGGCCGACGCAGACGAGGGCTTTGGCCTGGCGCACACGCCTCTGGAGCCTGATGCAAAAGACCTGCCCTGCGATTCGAAACCCGAGAGCGCGCTCGGGGCCCCCAGCAAGTCCCCGTCGCCCCCGCAGGCCGCCTTCACCCAGCAGGTAAGGAGACTTCACCCCTCGGGTCCCTTTCCAGGGACCAAAGTCAGAGTCTGGCTTCCCGGCTCAGCACCTCTGGAAGAGGGGAGCACAAAAACAAACAAAAACCGTCAAGAAACAAAACGAACCCACGGGCCATCATCATCCCTTCTCCTCTTCATTCCCACTACATTCCACCTTTCTCTTCCCCGTCTTCCCAGATGCTCACATATTGCCACCCACCTTATTGTGACGCTTACCTTTATGGCCAAAGGATTTAAAAAATCTATTTAAATTGTTCGAGAAACCTCAAT